CGACAGCGCTTCGCTACTCGTGTTTTTATCATTTTCTTCATCATCATGCTTCTCATTGTTATCAACGTTATTGCCTTCAATGTATCAGTGTATTCATTCACAATTCCATTTCCATCCGAATCAACCTTTGAATCTCTTCAACGAAAATATTCATTCAAACTTTCTTGTCCATGTTCACAAACTGCAGTTTCCTTTTCCAAATTTCTCTCAATCGAGCCAAATGCATATCATCAAATCTGTTCAAGTGACTTTGTTTCGTTTAACTTCTCGAAAATTCTTTGGGGATCTGATGGAAGCCACATGTATTTTATACCCATGGACGGTAAAGTGTTGAGTACACAATTTCGGCTGCTGGTAGATTTATGTTCTCTTGCAAAGAGCACCGTTGAGGAAAGGATACGAACACTATCGGCTCGAGAACTCGTCACTCTCGAGCCATTATCACGACGCTCATTCAATGATCAAATTCACTCGATTGTGAGCAATTTTATACGAGAAACGCCTCGTGATTTTCGGCGAACACATCAATATGTCAATGACATGCTTCATGCTAATCAATTTCAAACTTTTCTCTCGACAAATTGGAATCTAGTAACAACATCTGTTGGAAAATTACACAAGTTCTCGACAAGTCCAGTTTCAGTAAATGAAAGTGGCCAGTTCTGTTCATGTGAGACTTCCTCAACATGTACAAGGTCGAAGCTGAAGAATATAAAGAACAACCAATCAACATTCGTCGGTAAAATATTGTTGAAGAATAGAATTTAACTTCTTCTTGCTTGTAGGTCTCGTTGTCGGATGTTTACCTGTTCATGGCCTTCGACTTTCAACTCTCGAATGCTTTTACAGTTCAGGATGCTTGAAGGCATTAGCTATATTTGTCAACAGTTCATTGGTTCTGTCGCCTTTGAAGCGATCGATTCCTAGTCGTTTCACACCAATCTCATCAACACCGATCGGTACTCTGATCGATGAGTTGTTCATCGAATCATGGCAGAATTCGTCTAATTATTCGAGTTATTACTTGATATGTGCACCATCGAACTGTCGATATACATATGTCGAACGAAATGGTTTTGTATACACGTTGACTACGATTCTTGGTTTATATGGTGGATTGACTGAAGGATTGCCTATCGTTATTTGGGGCAGTCTGCGGGTGTATTGGAACATTCGTGAGCGAATCAAGAGACATCGACGTATTGCACCTATAAACAGTGACTGAAGCGTGTGATATGTATTCCCTCGACTGACACGAG